TGCGGGAGGTGCAGCCGACCGTCTACACTGGGTGACGTTGACATAGGTGAGCACATCGACAAAGTTGGTCGACATGCACAGGGCCAGTGCAAAGCCGCCGTCAACGAGAAGCAGGCGGCCGACTTCAACTTGGTGGTCGACAAAGGGACTCCTCGACCTGGGAGGGTGCCGACCTTGGGAGGCCGACTTGGCGAAGTCCACGGACAGCTTCAGCGTCGTCAACGAAGTGTTTGTTGACCTACGGTTTAGCCGACTTCGGTGAAGTCGGCATCTGCGATGCCGACTTGTGGGATCGGCGGAGCCGACTTTGTAATCGGCCAAGTCAGCTTGGTTCGCGGACTTGGAAGATCACGTCGGCGTAGTTAGCCGACTTTGACGGTTAGCTGACTTGGAGAAAGTTGGCTACATCGGAGCCAACTTAGGCAAAGCTACCAAAACGCTGGTCGACTAGGTGAAGTCGGCGCTGACGAAGGTGTTCGTCAACATGACGCCAACTTGGGGGCCGACGACTTGTGGACCTCGACGGCCTCCTCTTGTCGAACTTGTAACCTGGCCGAAGAAGTTCTGTAGGGGTGCATGAAGGTCGTCCAGGTGGTTTTGGCGAAGCCGACCTATGTAACAACGTTACGTGGGCACGAGGTCGGCGTGACACATCTGGCACAACTGTCAGCACGTGGTCGACTTGGCACTTGCGGATTTTTTTGTCACGGTGCACAACATGCTCGACCGTCCACTAGCACCTGCGAAGTGGATGCGCACATGCGCTATGGTCGCACGCATTTGCAACGCTAGAAAGCCGCCTTGCTGCAGCGTTGTGGAAAGCCACTTTGTTGCAGTGCTGGCAGGTCGCCGACTTGCAGTGCTAGAAAGCCGCCATCGAACTGCGCTAGCAAGATGACGATTTGTTGTGCTGGGGGCTGACCTGCCTATCTGCAAGGTTGGTAGGCCCCCAGATGTAGTCATTGTTGTCTATCTTTTCTTGCATCATTGTTGTGAACTCTTGCTGGTACAACTCTTGCCAATTTCGTTGTGAACGCGCAAGTAGAGAGAACACACAAATGCTACGATCACACCCGCAACCTGTGCCTACCCGTAACCTAGCTCCCACCATTGTAGAGTGAATCTCTGTAGACCAACTGTACCGCTTTGCACACATCCGCCCATTCTCCCTTCACCATCCCCCCTCTCAATCCCTCCTCCACCGAACTCCCTCCCACTCCATCTCCCCTATTGCCCCAATCTCCCCAAGTTGCGCTTCACCAGGCTAAAGGACCAACTGCACCAATTTGCACACATCCTATCCACTAAGGTGAGAGCAAGGGACCACAGGGGCAGAGCAGCAGAGGGGGCATGGAGAAGGGGAGCAAGGGAGCAGGGGGGTAGCGGAGCAGGGGGGAGTGGGGAATGTGGGAGTGGGGGAGTGAGAGAGCAGGGGAAGAGGGGAGCTGGGGTGCATGCAAGGGACCTTGCAATGCAAGCGCGAAGCCCACTCCCCTCCCCTCGCCACTCCCCCCATGACATTGTCACTATGCAACTTCCTTATCCCCCTCCCCTCGCCACTACCCCCAGGACATGGTCACAGTGCGCTTCCCCTTAGTAGGGGTGACAATGGTGTGGGGTAACAATTGTGAGGGTGAGAATGCAACCAATGATGATAGCAGCAGGTGTGGGGCCAATACCAACCTTGCTGCTTCTGCTGCTGCTGCCACTACTACTGGTGTTGCTACTTCTACTACTGCTGCTGGCGCACTGATGGCGCGTGCTGCTGCAGTAGCAGGAGCAGGAGCAGTGGAAGCAACAGAGATGTGTCGCACTGGGTTTGCGCGCTTTCAGACGCCTCTATCTGCTCTAGCTTGCCGTGAGTCTCACGCATGAAGGCAGTCAACGCATGGGGCAGTGAGGCGTATGGGGCAGTGGGGCGTATGGGGCAGTGGGGCGCATGGTGGAGGGGGGCGCATGGGGGTAGTGGGCGCATGGGGCAGTGGGCGCATGGGGGAGGGGCCGCATTGGGAAGGGGGGGCGCATAGGTATATGGGGCGCATGAAAGAGGGGAGCGTATGGGGCAGTGGGGCAGTAGGGCAGATGGGAGTGCTACCATATATTACGTTTCACAATTCCATAGGACCTGCTGCATATGCATTCTATATGGGGCTGCTGATGGCTTTGCCACAACTCCACCTCTCGTCTTATCCCATCCTGTTCCAACTCCCACCGTCCCACCATCTCTCCGTGGCACAGCTTCTCTTGCCTCCGACTCTGCGGACATGCTTTCAGCACACGAGCACTGGCTCAGGTGGGGTGTCATGTGTTATTAGCACTGGCAGAGGTGGGGTTTCATTGCCACATGTCACGAGCACTGCACAGGTGGGGTTTCATTACCACGTTTATAAGCACCATGTGGGGTTTCTCTGCCATGCGTCCCTTCCTAGCTTTCTTTTTCAGCACAAAGAGCACACGTTTAAGTGATTCTATCGTGTGATATTTGGAGTTAAATTTTATGTACTTTTCCTGGTTATTGCTCATTATCTTCATGTTCTACACTTTTCTGGTGAAGGAGAGGTAATGCCCTGTCTGTGGGAAGGCGTATGATGGAAACCGATGTCGCTTACGTCAACCCGACACCTGACCAGGTACGTGATACATGTTGCTGCGACCATAACGTATATCGTAACCAGGATCACATCAGGAAGGTTCGCACAGAGTGTGTCGTAGTGGTGAGCCCTTGACCTCAGTTTAGAGTGAATATAAAATGTCAGAGATGAATAACACATGCAAATACATTCGTATAATGAGTACAAGGGGAATACCAAACGTCCTAGCTAGCCATATACCCTAAGGGGTACATTTCCTTATTCAAATTCAGACCCAACCGTGCGGCGCGTACAGTTGAAACTGTTCCCGCCTTTTCCTAGCTCCTGCAGCTGCTCGATGTTGTCTGCTTCAACGATTCATATGCTTTCCAACTGTTCGCGTCCCTTCGACCTTTCGCCTTCGTACACTCTTCTGTGTTTGTTGTTCTTGCTACTACAGGTAAAATGCACAGTGCGGCTTCTCACTTTACTATTCGTAAAACATGTCAAGATCATAATCATTGTGGCTTTCTAATTTGGCATAATAAGCAATTAGAGTGGTTAAGGTTCCTTTTAATAAATATATAGAGTACGTGTGTGTGTATATGTAAATTTACAGTCATACGCCTTACTTCTGGGACTAGTGGGCCTAGGTGGTCACCATGAATGGGGAACATGTTATTTGAATGTGTTGTTGGCTGTGATTTGCATGGAACAAAGCGAGTGTGTACAGCATATCAAAGTATTGTGGCAAACCCAAAGAAGTGTGAACGTGAGAGCTGAACACGTCCCTAATGAAAGAAGGTAGCTGTTGCCGTCAAATGCGCTGGCTGGACAGAGAGGTGAACTCAACACAACCAAAACGACTAGCTGTTAGGCAGCAGCGCGATTCCCGCTAGGCAGCAGCGCGATTCCCGCTAGGCAGCAGCGCGATTCCCGCTACCTAGGCAGCAGCGCGATTCCCGCTAGGCAGCAGCCTGACTCCCGCTAGGCAGCAGCTCTTTCATCGCTAGTAGCAGCGCGATCCCGCCACGTAGCCCGCGACTCAGCCTCTTAGCCCGCAATTCAGCCGCCCAGGCCGCGATCTAGCCGCCTAGCCCGCGATTTAGCCGCCCAGCCCGCGATCTAGCCGCCCAGCCCGCGATCTAGCCGCCTTCGCCTCGATCTAGCCGCCTAGCCCGCATCTTAGCCGCTTAGCCAGCGATTTAGCCGCCCCGCCCGTGACCTAGCTGCAAAGCAGCGATCTGCTGACCAACCGGTGATTTAGCCGCTTAGCCCGCGAACTGCAGGTAGCAGCGCGCAGCTAGGCAGTGGAACCCGCGCCGTAACAGCGAAATCCGCATCGCAGCAGCGAAAATCGCGTCGTAGCAGCAAAATCCACGCCGTAGCAGCGAAATTCGCGCCGTGGCAGCGAAATCCCCGTTGTAGCAGCGACATCCACACCTAGGCAGCAAAACCCGCGCTGTAGCAGCGACATCTGCGCCGTAGCAGCGAAATCCGCGCCGTAGCAGCAAAATCCGCGCCGTAGCAGCGAAGCCCGCGCCGTAGCGTTGAAGTGCGCGCTGTAGCAGCAAAGTGCGCGCCGTAGCAGCGAATTGCGCGCCGTAGCAGCGAATTGCGCGCCGTAGCAGCGCAATCCGGTGCCTCGGCAGCGAAACCCGCGCCGTAGCAGCGAAATCCGCGCCGTAGCAGCAGCGAAGTGCGTGCCGTAGCAGCGAAGTGCGCGCCGTAGTAACGAAGTGCACGCCGTAGCAGCGAAGTGCGCGCCGTAGCAGCGAAGTGCACGCCGTAGCAGCGAAGTCCGGGCAAAGAGCAGCGAAGTCCGCCATGTAACAGTGAAACCCGCGCCGTAGCAACAAAATCTGCGTCGCGGCGGAGGGATCAGCGCCCAGGCAGCTATACTCGCGCGTAGGAGCGCCATCGCAGCGAAGCTCGTGCCTAGGCAGCGACTACCGCGTGTAGGGAGGGCCACAAAGCGAGACCCGCGCCTAGGTACCAACACCTGCAGGTAGGAGCGTCCATCGTATAGGGGAGTCTCCGTGCGCCAGCGACGCCCAACACCTTCGACTCACCCGGACTGCGAACCTTATATCGAGGGCGGGAGGCGCCCCTCCAGCGCTCCCCGCAAACAGCTTCCGCCATGAACAACGATCCAGACCCCCCAGACGGGGGAGGAAGATCATCGCGAGGATTGGCCACAAGAGACCCAGGGAGGCAGCACCGAGTATGCAATACCCACAACTCTGTCGCCTCCACCACGAGGATGCACTCTGCCTTTTTGGCAAGCCCAGCAAGCGACAAAGGTATGGACCCTCTCGACAGGGGGGGGGATAGAGGAGCCACCCAAAGACACTCTCGGCGGCTTCGTAGGCGGCAGCAACACCATCTCCAGCCGGGACCTGGACGTGACGGACGAGGGCGAGTGCGGTCATGGGGTGCATAGGCAAGGTACCGGTGATGACGCGGCGATGGCTGCATGGGAGGCACACCGCCGGCGACTGCAGGAGTCTCATGATAGGCGGCGGAGGGCCTTGGGAAAATCCTTTGGCACGCCCAGCCCTCACAGCTCCGCGCGGGCCTCGCCTGGCCCAAAGGCAGGAACAAAGACGGAGAGCTCGGGCGGAAGTGCAGCAATGGAGTCCAGCGGGGACCCAGCCCTCGAGGCAGGAGGGGGGGGGGCAGCAGAACTGGCTGTTGGGGGAGGCCCAGAAGCCACAAGCAAGGGAGCAGCAAGTGCGGCCGGCGGGACGGCAGCAGGAGCTGCCGGCGAGAGGGGAGCAGCACCTGCTGGCGAGAGGGGAGCAGGAGCTGCCGGCGAGAGGGGAGCAGGAGCTGCCGGCGAGAGGGCAGCAAGAGCCGCAGGCAAGAGGGCGGCAGGCGCGGTCGGCAGGCGAGCAGCAGGTACTGCCGAAGGGAGAGCAGCAGGAGCGGCCGGCGGGAGGGCAGCTGGAGCTGATGGCGGGGGGGGCAGCAGGAGCTGCAGGCAGGAGGGCAGCGGGAGGTGCCAGCGGGAGGGCAGCAGGAGGTGCCAGCGGGAGGGCAGCAGGAGGTGCCAGCGGGAGGGCAGCAGGAGGCGCCAGCAAGAGGGCAGCAAGAGGTGCCGGCGATGAGGGCAGCAGGAGGTGCCGGCGAGAGGGCAGCAGGAGGTGCGGCGAGAGGGCAGCAGGAGCTGTCGGCTGGGGGGCAGCAAATGGTAGAAGCGGAGATGGCCGAGCTACAGCCAGAGGTGCAGCAGGACCACTCGGGGAACCGGGCCCGGCCACACGCAGGAGGGCAGCAGGAGCCGCCCGGGGGAGAGCAGCGTGAGCTGCCAAGGGAAGAGCAACAGGAGCTGCGGCAAGGGAGCAGCAAGCAAGGGAGCAGCAAGCAAGGGATCAGCAAGCGGTAGAAGTGGAGATGGCCGAGCTACAGCCAGAGTCACAGCAGGACCAATTGGGAAACCAGGCTGGCCACAGGCAGGAGGGCAGCAGGGGCCGCCCGGGGAGGAGAGCAGCTTGAGCTGCCAAGGGAAGAGCAGCAGAAGCCGCCGGGGGTGGGGCAGCTGCCGGCAAGGGAGCAGCAAGCGGTGGATGTGGAGATGGCCGAGCTACTGCCAGAGGTGCAGCAGGACCAATCAGGGAACCAGGTCCGGCTGCAGGCAGGAGGGCAGCAGGAGCTGCCGGGGGAGGAGCGGCAGGAGCTGCCAACAGGAGGGCAGCTGGGGCGGCGTCGGGGGAGGGCAGCAGGAGCTGTCGGAGGGGGAGCGGCGGGAGCTGCCGGCGCGGGGGCAGCTGGAGGTCGCTAGTGCGGACTCTACAAGCCAAGCGAGAGAACCCGGGCACGGGGCCGAGGCGGGAGACGACACACCCGTAAGACGCAAGGCCGAACTGGAAGCGGAGCTGCCGCCCAGCAGGCGGAGGGGCAGCGGGGGCGACCGAGACACCCCCGGGAGCTCCGCGGGTGGGGGGGCAGCCCTGGGTGCCCGGGGCGCCCCAAGGAGAGCAGCAGCCAGGGGGGCAGCCGGGGGTGCCCGGGGCACCCCAGGGAGTGCAGCAGGCAGGGGGGCAGCCGTGGGTGCCCGGGGCACCCCAGGGAGTGCTGCAGGCAGGGGGGCAGCCGAGGGTGCCCGGAGCACCCCAGGGAGTGCAGCAGGCAGGGGGGCAGCCGGGGGTGCCCGGGGCACCCCAGAGTGCAGCAGGCAGGGGGGCAGCCGGGGGTGCCCGGGGCTCCCCAGGGAGTGCAGCAGGCAGGAGGGCAGCTGAGAGTGCCCGGGGCACCCCAGGGAGCGCAGCAGGCAGGAGGGCAGCCGAGGGTGCCCAGGGCACCCCAGGGAGTGCAGCAGGCAGGAGGGCAGCCGAGGTTGCCCGGGGCACCCCAGGGAGTGCAGCAGGCAGGAGGGCAGCAGGGGGTGCCCGGGGCACCCCATGGAGTGCAGCAGGCAGGAGGGCAGCCGAGGGTACCCGGAGCACCCCAGGGAGGGCAGCAGGCAGGGGGGCAGCCGAGGGTGCCCGGGGCACCCCAGGGAGTGCAGCAGGCAGGGGGGCAGCGGGGGTGCCCGGGGCTCCCCAGAGAGTGCAGCAGGCAGGAGGGCAGCTGAGGGTGCCCGGGGCACCCCAGGGAGCGCAGCAGGCAGGAGGGCAGCCGAGGGTGCCCAGGGCACCCCAGGGAGTACAGCAGGCAGGAGGGCAGCCGAGGGTGCCCGGGGCACCCCAGGGAGTGCAGCAGGCAGGAGGGCAGCAGGGGGTGCCCGGGGCACCCCAGGGAGTGCAGCAGGCAGGAGGGCAGCCGAGGGTACCCGGAGCACCCAGGGAGTGCAGCAGGCAGGAGGGCAGCCGAGGGTGCCCGGGGCACCCCAGGGAGTGCAGCAGGCAGGGGGGCAGCTGGGGGTGCCCGGGGCACCCCAGGGAGTGCAGCAGGCAGGAGGGCAGCCGAGGGTGCCCGGGGCACCCTAGGGAACGCAGCAGGCAGGAGGGCAGCCGGGGGTGCCCGGGGCACCCCAGGGAGTGCAGCAGGCAGGGGGGCAGCCGGGGGTGCCCGGGGCACCCCAGGGAGTGCAGCAGGCAGGGGGGCAGCCGGGGGTGCTCGGGGCACCCCAGGGAGTGCAGCAGGCAGGAGGGCAGCCGAGGGTGCCTGGGGCACCCCAGGGAGTGCAGCAGGCAGGAGGGCAGCCGAGGGTGCCCGGGCACCCCAGGGTGTGCAGCAGGCAGGAGGGCAGCCGGGGGTGCCCAGGGCACCCCAGCGAGTGCAGCAGGCAGGGGGGCAACCGGGGGTGCCCGGGGCACCCCAGGGGGTGCAGCAGGCAGGGGGGCAGCCGGGGGTGCCCGGAGCACCCCAGGGAGTGCAGCAGGCAGGAGGGCAGCCGAGGGTGCCCGGGGCACCCCAGGGAGTGCAGCGGGCAGGTGGGGAGCCAGGGGTGCCCGGAGCACCCCAGGGAGTGCAGCAGGCAGGAGGGCAGCCGGGGGTGCCCGGGGCATCCCAGGGAGTGCAGCAGGCAGGAGGGCAGCCGAGGGTGCCCGGGGCACCCCAGGGAGTGCAGCAGGCAGGAGGGCAGCTGAGGGTGCCCGGGCACCCCAGGGAGTGCAGCAGGTAGGAGGGCAACCGAGGATGCCTGGAGCACCCCAGGGAGAGCAGCAGGCTGGGGGGCAGCCGGGGGTGACCGGAGCACCCCAGGGGGAGCAGCAGCTAGGGGGGCAGCCGGGGGTGACCCGAGCACCCCAGGGCGAGCAGCAGGCAGGGGAGCAGCCGGGGGTGACCGGAGCACCCCAGGGAGTGCAGCTGGGAGGAGGGCAGCCGATGGTGCCTGGGGAACCCCAGGGAGTGCAGCAGGCAGGAGGGCAGCCGAGGGTGCCCAGAGCACCCCAGGGAGAGCAGCAGGCAGGGGGGCAGCCGGGGGTGACCGGGGCACCCCAGGGAGCGCAGCAGCCAGGGGGGCAGCCGAGGGTGCCCTGGGCACCCCAAGGAGCGCAGCAAGCAGGGGGGAGATCGATGGACGACCAGGAGCAACAGTTGGAGGAGTGGTGTCGACTTCTGGAGCTTGATACCCCCATGGCAACTACGGAGGAGTCAGAGGCGGACGAAGAACCTCCCATGCCGCCTTCCCCATGCCCCCGCTTCCCGTGCGACACGTGTTTCCACACTTTCGCTACGCGGGGGGCCGCTGCGAACCACCTGAGGGTATGCCGAGCGGCTGAGGCGGAGAGGCGTGCACAGGCTCTCGGCTCGATTCCGTCTCTGGTGGAGACCGACACGCAGGAGCGATCGACGCCGCGGGAAGGGGAATTGGGGACGCGTGGGCTGGGGTTATGTCATGGGAATGGGAAACATTTTTCAGTGTGGAGGCGGTTAGAGGGAGGACAGTTCGCCGGATCCCACAGCGGGCCAGGTCGGGGGTCTTAGACGCGCTCTGTTGCATCCTTAAGCGCTTGAAGAGTCAGCCGGGAGATGAAGCCGCTACCCTCCTACTCTTGGCGTTTCCGCGCCTCATCCTAGCCATGCCTCCCAAGCCAGGCATAGGTCAGAAGGCGCTGATCACAGAGCGGTTGGGTGCTTTCTGGGAGGGGAGGTGGCGGGAGCTGTTCGACTTTGCCATGGCGGCAGCGCGGCCAGCAGTTCGCCCACTTTCCTACACTCGCTCTGACCATGACCCGGATGCCATTCGCCTGTCACGGTGCCGATCTCGGTGCAAAGTGGGGGAGTGGAGCCGAGGATTGGCCTGCCTTACAGCAGGGGAGTTGGCTCGACCGTCTGAGGTCATGGTGCAGTCGCTGCGAGAGAAGCACCCGGCTAGCAGCAGGCGACGAGGTACCACAGTGGGTCCGCAATTTCACCATCGATACCGCTCAGCGGCCTTCACTCACGACCGACATCCTGGCCAGAGCTATCCATACAGCCGCTCGAGCCTCAGCAGCAGGGCCATCAGGGTGGGTCACAGAGCATCTGCGCGACACCTTCCTCACTGAACCTACCTGCCTCTCCCACCTGTTGGAAGTGTTCAACCAATGGGTGGCGGGACAGGTCCCCGAGCGGGCTCGGCCGTGGCTCGCCGCATCCAACCTAGTCGGGCTTTCCAAGCCTAACGGCGACGTCCGGCCGGTGGCTATCGGGGAGGTGCTTCCTCGTATCCTTGCTCGAGCTCTCTGCATCTCGCTCCGCCCTGCGATGGTTTCCTACTTCCTGCAGTGCAACCAGCTGGGAGCGGGCACCAAGGTCGGGGCGGAAATTCTCACTCATTCTTTCCGGTCAGCGCTGGCCACTCACCCCGACTGGTGTGCGCTACAGATAGACGTCGCAAACGCCTTCAATTCGTTTCACCGTCATGTGATGTTCGATGGGCTGCGGGAGTCGCCTTTCTCAGGGATGATCCCATTCTTGCGTGTCTTTTATGGGACACCTAGCGACCTGTACCTCCGAGCGGGCCCTTTCGTACAGAGCCTCGAGTCAGCACGGGGATCGAGGCAAGGGGACCCGCTCGGCCTTTTCTTTTCGCGTTCACGCAGCAGCAGGTGATGGAGCCGGTTACTAGGGAGTTCAAGGACCTACTTTTCCTCAGCTATGCAGACGATACCTATATTTTGGGGCCAGCGGCTAGGATTCTGGAGGCTTTTGGGGTGCTGCGGGAGCGGTTGGAGTGGGTAGGGCTGGAGGTGCAGGCGCACAAGTGCCGGTTTTGGGAGCGCGAGGGCAAGGAGGTGGAGCGGGCACTGCCATGGGGATGCAGCAGGTGGATGAGGGTCTTATTTTGGTGGGCGTGCCTATTGGAGAGGAGGTTTGGGAGGTGGTCCGGCTACGGGAGCGGCTTCGATAGTTGCAGGCGCCACTGCCATGGCTCCCCTTGCTCGACCACCCCCAGATGGCTTCACACCTCCTCGCCATTGCAGTTTCAGCGCGGCCGATGTACCTCGCCGGACTATGCCCGGACCGCCCGCGTCCGGAGGTGGTTGAGGCTTTTAGGGATTGGGACAGCTGTTTAGAGGATTGCTTTGAGCAGCTTTTCCCACCTGGCACTTGGGAGCAGGACCCCGACCGGTCTAGGCGCGCACGCATGCAGCTGCATCTCCCTGTGCGTCTCGGTGGGTTCGGGATCCGGGCGGCGGCCTCTTTGAGCCCACTGTCCTATGTTTGCGGGTGGGCGCAGGCCGCGCGGGACATTGCACAGTTAGGGGTGGCGGGTGAGGAGGCGATGTTTGCTGAGTACCTCACCACTTCGATAGGGGCAGAGTTTCTTGACCCGTGGTTTGTCAAGGCTCTCGAGCAGCTGCCAGCGACTATCCGCCACGAGATACCGGGCTTACCTCTGTGTGTAGCGGCCCCTCCTGTTCGGCTTTTCCAGGCGCGTCAACGGCAGTTAGCTGTAGAGGAGCTCCACCCACTGCGCCGCTTGGCTCGTGACGAAGCTACCTTGGCCCGTTTCACATCCCTTCAGGGCCGGGGGCAGGTGCATGGGTTTCGGCGGTTCCGGCTCACTCAGATCTCACATTCACTGCGGCTGAGTGGGGCATTGCTGCTGCTATACGGCTCGGCCTCCCAACTCAGCAGCTGCAGGTGGCGGGGAGGTGTGTTTGTGGCACAGCGTATGTTGACCCAGCAGACCCGCACCATGCCCTGAGATGCAGGCACCAGCATGGTCCTTCTCGGGTGCATGATGAGGTGAAGTTTGCGGTGGCGAAGATCTCTAAGGCGGGGGGGGGGGTGGTGACATTGGAGGATAGTGTGGTGCTGCAAGGGAAGCGGGTTGATGTGGCGGTGCGACGTCCAATGGCTGGAGAGGCTCACGCCCTAGAGATCAGCGTCGCGGACCCGCTATCGCTGTCTCCATCACTGCTGGGACAGTCCGGGCGTCAAATAGGTGTGGCGGCAAGGGAATGGGAGCGTCGCAAAACGAGTGATTACGCGCCTCTGCTTGCACGCAACCGGGGCGTGCAGTTCACCCCTTTGATAGTTGAGACGTGGGGGTGTCTCGGCGGCCGTTTTCAGCGGTGGCTTCGTCAGCAGGGGGATGCGCACGTGGGGCTAGCTGTGTGTCGGGGGGCTTGTCGAGAGGACGACTCTGTGTTTTCGGCTTATCTTTTAGGGTCACTGAAGGCGCTCATCGGGGTGGCGTCACAACGTGCGCAAGCCCGTGTCATCCTGCTTCGAGCGGCGTCTTCCATGGGGGGGATTAACGTAGATTTGGCGGATCGGGGAGAGGGACGATGTCGATGTGGAAGGCGGGGCTCTCTGGGTGGAGGCCCCGTACATGGTCGATACGTTGATGTGATTGAGGGGGGGGGGGGGGGGATGGGATGTCTTGATGGGGTGTCTTGACTGGGCGTTTTGATTGGGTAACTTGAGGGGGGGGTTTATGTGTGTTGCATTTGGGTTCTTTTTGGGAGTTTCATTTTCCTTCTCCCTTTCTTTCTCCATTCCCTTTCTTTTTCAGACACACTATGGCGAGACACATGGTGTGAATGATTTTTTGAGACAGCAGGCGGGGGTATGTAACCAGCAACCATATTAAGGATGAAGACGAGTAATGTACATGAATGGGGAACATGTTATTTGAATCTGTTGTTGGCTGTGATTTGCATGGAACAAAGCGAGTGTTACAGCATATCAAAGTATTGTGGCAAATCGGATCAAGTAACCACATATCGTAAGAACCGTTGAGGAATCCAATCGAATTTCAGATTGCCAGCAATCAACGGTACCAAAAGTAAAAAATCCCCAAGCGGGGTCGCTTCCAGTGCTTCAAAAGCAGGTTTCAAGAGGATTCGTTGTTCTGCATCTCTGTTTTTGCAAAATCCTCGAGCTGAATCAGTACACCCTGTTTCTCGACCCTCTCACCTTGCGCGATTCGCTGCTACAGTGCGGTCAGGTGCCATAAACCGTATGGCTGAAACCTGCGGGCAAAGCCGCACCAGCTGACGGAGTGGTACTGGGGGCAAAATTTTTCTTTATCGCTGTATACCCTTTTCAACCGCTTTGAAACGCTTGGTTAATGTTCTTTACCATGCAGCATCCTAGCTAACCGCTTTCTTGTGATTGTGCTTGTACCGTCGGTGATAAGACCATTTCAAACGTGGTGACGTTCTACAACCTGTGCATGTTCTGCAACCAGATGCTCTGCTAGCGCGAAACAGGGTGGATTTGCACACTAGCATTGGACAACCAATCGTGTATTTTCGCAACGGGACCAATTTAATCATCGAATCAATGGCAGCCGTCTTCTTCTCGCGCCTGGTTCACTTGAGGGTGGTGGCGAGACTTCCTTCCAACTTAGTACCACCTAGTCCGCGGTATTTTAACCAGGTGAACTTTGTTCTTTCAAACCCTCTTTGTTCGTTTCTGGGCAGTGTTTTTTAGCACCCAGAGTCATCGAGGCTACGATTCTGTAGCCGAAAGCACTTCTCGTCTAAGGAACTCACACTTAGTGCTCCAAGATAGACGGATGACATTTGTCACACTCGGCATTCACTGAGTTTTTTCTGCTGTCATCTCGCGAAGGGAATGCTAGATTCTACCCTCGTAAAGTTTGAAACAACCCGACTAAATAAGTTTGATAAAGGAGAAGTACCCTCGCGTGGTTAAGATAGCGCCGGTTAAAATACCGCGGACTAGGTGTAAGATCAATATCGACGTTGGGAGTTCATCCTTGTGAGCTTGCTTCAATCGCCGTGGCCCTCTCGCAATCATGTTTACCTTCTCTTATGAATGTCATATCTTGATTGCTCAGGTACAGTACTTCCCTAATTTTGACTCGTCCGCCCAGGACTCACCCGTTCACCTAGGTATTTTTCTGGCATGCCTCTTTCCAGGAGCTTTCCATCTGGCGAAGTGACGGCGGTAGAATTCTCGTTTAGGACTATCCAGTTGGCGAGTGACGTGAGCTCGTTTGCGGACATCAGCTGGGAGTGGGCGCGGGTGTCGGACGGGACGAATTGCCCCAACGTTGTCATTTTCTTACAGTTTTTTTTTCGGCGGCGAGTTGAACAAGTAATGCCGATTTCGTCCGAAGTCCCATGTGGGTACAGGTCAGAGGTGACTTCGCAAACCTAGGAGGGATGTTGGCCCTTCTGGCTGTTCGCTCCTGCGAAGGACAGTCTGCACTGTTACTGCCACTGGCCTTGGTATCTCTGTCAGATACGCTTGTCTCACTTATTGCGTCTCCCGCGCACGCGCAGCGCAGTAGTAGTGTGATATGGCTACTGCTCAGGAAATGCGCGCATGATGGGTACAGGTGAGGCGGGATCTCGACAACATCTCGTTAGTGAAGTGAACACGTACGTGTACAACGCGATCTTCTTTCCATCTCTGTCTCTCGTACCGAACCCGACAATAATCCCTCCATCTGGCACTACACAGTGGTAGTACGGTACGGCTGTTACAGTTCATGGTGCATTCACGACATCGCGCTTTCGGTGACGTGGCGGGCTAACATTAGATTAGGTCGACCTAAACCACACCCGCGCTGTCACATCTGAATGTGACACCGCACCTTCAGACGCGATGCAGTTTTTCTGACGCGTCAGCAAAACCTTATCTGATTCAAGTGTCGCTATAGTTTGTTCGGTTATAACACCACTAAACCTCCGTCGATGCAAGTTCCAAATGCCAGATTCATGCAAGCTCGGCACCACTGTACACCCAACACAACCGAAGTATATTCGATGTACTAGCACAAGTTGGCACGTGTGGGACGGTTTTGGAAGCGAACTACTAGCGGCTGTAGAGACAATGGGGAAGGGGAGACATTGTTCACCTATCCTACAGCAAAGGTTCAGCACTGCTTACCCTCCTAAACACTGTTTCACGTAACCCTAGTCATTGCTCGTGCAAAGGTTAGTGTGCAAAGATGGGGAAAACCGAGATTTGGGCATGGTATGTGGCGTTGTGAATTTTTGTAGAGTAGTACAGGAGCAGTCCTTCCTATCTATCAGCCTCGCAGCGGATTCATTATTAGTATTATCTGGACCGTGTCGTCACGACAAATTGTGCTTTGGTGAAACTGTGTCGCGATTTTAGTACTAGTGACTGAGCTGATGCGTGATTGTTTGAGACAGATTTTTCACCCCAGCGACGTCGGTTCCAGATTCTCCAAGTACGACTCCGGAAAGTGCTCTGTCGCGGCGACACGCTTTTTCCGTTCCTGCGGCTACGACAACGACAGTTCGTCCGAAGCTTTTGCCATTCATTCTCCTCATGGACTCAGTCAACGCGGCGCTTCGGTTTCAAACGGGAGAACCAGGATTCCCCAACGCGCCTCAAACGGGGAAACCAGCATCATGCTTCGACATGCTTCAAAAGGGGGAGCTGCAAGGCAGCAGCGCGCTGGCAGCGGATTGGAGCAGCATCAGCCGGAACGAGCTGAGCCTCATCCAAGCAGCTCTGCAGCGCGCCGAGCACCCTGGATTGCCACTGGGTGACTCTTCTTTGATCGCCGCGCAGCAATTTCCGAGTGACTTGGAGCCTGCGTTAACCGCGGCGCACCCCGGACTGCCACTGGGTGGCTCCGCTTTGACCGGCCATGGCGCAGCGGCAAGGGCTGGGTGACACCGAGCCGGCTTTAATCGCGGGGCAGGCAGCGCGGCAACAGAGAGTGAAGGAGAGAGAGAGTTCGGCTGCAGAGACAGCACCCTCTGCAGCGCTTTTTGAGGCGCCTCAAAAACCCTCTGCAGCGCTCCTGCAGGATGGGTATGGTGCTCTGGGGCAGCTATCTCCAACCACCCCCCTGCTGGTTCAAATCTCGAATGAGACCTGCGGCAGTTCCCTTTCGCCCCTTCCTTCGCCACTCAACACCTCCCTTCCTCCCCCTGCTTGTCGCACCTTCACCCTGCCGTCGCTTCCCCCGGTCCTGCACCCATCAACAGCGCTGAGGGCTCGCTGCAGTCCCGGCTTTGTGCCATCCGGCTTTGTGCCATCTTTTGGCACGAAGCGAAGGCTGTTAGCCGCCCAGATTCATGATCTTGCGGATATGGAGGCTCTTCAGGTGAGGAAGAGGTTACGTGGTAACCCTACTGCCGCTGACTCTGGCCTCCCTCTTGCTGCAACTGCTGCTGCTGCTCCTCCTCCTGCTCCTCCTCCCCCTCCTGCTGCTGCTGCTACTGCTGCTATTGCTGCAACTGCTGCTGTATTCTCTAGCAGCAGTATAACCAGGCACGAAGCGCCATGGAGTGCAGAATCAGCAGCAGCAGCAGCAGCAGCAGTGCCTGCTGCTGTTATGGCCGGCCCAACCTCTGCAACCTTCGTGGCAAGAAGCACACATGCTGCAGTGCCCTCCTCCTGGACTGCTGCTGCTGCTGCTGCCACTCCTGCTGCAACTTCTGCTGCTGCCACTCCTGCTGCAACTGCTGCTGCTGCTGCAACCGCTTTCCCAAGAGACGCTGGCATGTGCCGCACACGTCTCAGCATGAGCCCCACACACTCTGGCCTGGACGCCACCCACCCTGACACGTTGCCCACACGTGCTGGTGTGAGCCCAACACGTGCTGGTGTGAGCCCAACACGTGCTGGTGTGAGCCCAACGTGTGCTGGTGTGAGCCCAACGTGTGCTGGTGTGAGCCCAACACGTGCTGGCGTGTGCCTGCCACAGCACCCATTGGACCAGCTTGCTGCAGCTCTCGTGAAGCCGCCGCATCCCTTCAAGAGGGAGAGTGGGGTGGGACTTGATGGGTGCGTGGACAGTTTTCCTCGTGCCGCTGCTGCTATTGATGATGATGCTGCTGCTGGTGCTGGTGGTGCACCTGTTGGTGGTGATGCTGTTGCTGCCGCTGCCTCTGCTCCAGCTGCTCCTGCAATGCCAACCTCGTCCCTTGCACACCAGCAGAGGCAAGCAGCTATTAGCAGTCTCTTCAGGCGACTCCAAGCGCAATCACCTGGCAGCACCGCTCTGCACCGCTCCGTGTCTTCAGAGCTGCGTTTTGAACCGTCTCAAGGGCTGTCGCAACCGCAGCAGCACCCCCGCAGCAGCACCTCCCTAATGCAACCATCAGTGCAACCAGCAGCAGTGCAACCAGGGTCCTTCCAGGCACACGCGCACAAGCCTTTTCCCCCCAAGTCCTCTGGCCTCCTGCCGTGCACCCAGCAACCGTTCTCTCCAGATTCTCCACAAATTCAGGCAGCAGCAGCAGCGTTTCGGTCGCCCTCAGCAGCACCCCGGGAATCAACGCCAGGAGGAAACACGGGCTTTAAGTCGCCCTCTGCAACCCCGTCTCCGTTGTCCCAGTCGCCAAGGGCAGGGGTGGGACGCGCAAGGGCTGTTGCAGCGGCAGTGGGAGGAGCAGGGGCGAGGCAGATCACAGGGAAGAGTGCCACAGAGAAGCAGCGGCGGTCCAGAATAACGTGAGTTGGGTGAGAGTTCGGTGCAATGTGTGTGTTGACTCCTGCTGACTTGAGGGCACGGTTATGTTCACGCTTCTTGACTCTTGCTGACTTGAAGCCTCGTGTTGACTCTTGATGACTCTAGTTGAATATGGTTGACTCTGGTTGACCAGGTCATGACAGATGGCACATGCGTATAAACACATTGCTCACACTGTTGTGCCCCGTCCCTTCCTCCGCCCATGTCTGTCTCACAGTGAGCGGTTAGGTGCCCTCAAGGCAGTGATTCCACTTTCAAGTCAACTTCAATAACCAACCTAATGTGTGCCTTGCCCCCTCTCCTTCCCTCCCGTTCCTCTTCCCATGTGTGGCTCACAGAGAGCGGTTAGAAGCCCTCAAGGCAGCAATACCAGCGGAGGTGCTGCTGAGGCAGCAGGGCCGGACGGGGTTCAGCAATCGCACTCAGATCGCCACCCTTCTGGATGCTGCCGTGGGTTTTATTGAGGGAATGCGCGAATACAAGCTGGAGCTGGAGAGGCAGCTGTTGGCCTCATAACGGCTTTCGAGGCGCCTCAAAAGTCACACGCAGATCGCCACTCTTTTCTGCATGCTGCCGTGGGGTTCTTTGAAGGAATGCGCGCATACAAGCTGGCGCTGGAGAGGCAGCTGCTGGCCTTTTATTCCCACGGACCAAGTCTCGCCTCAAGAGGCGGGACAACTTAAGCAGGCACCACCAGCTGACCGTGCAGTTGCACGCACATAGGCACTCTTTTCTGGATGCTGCTGTGGGGTTCATTGAGGGAATGTGCGTGTACAAGCTGGCTCTTCAGAGGCAGGTGCTGGCCACGTGACAGTACTTTGGAGAGAACTACCTACCTCATAAGCTCAACGCTTATGCACAAGCGTCTGACTGCTCTGCAGCAGGCTTCAGTTGAGAAGCCAGTCGCGTGCAGATAGCCACTGTTCTGGATGCTGCTGTGGGGTTAACTGAGGGCATGCTGGAGTGCAAGCTGGGGCTGGAGAGGCAGCTTCTAGCCTCGTAACAGGGTGTCTGGTCGGATCGGGTTCTCAAGGACCAAGTCTGAAAGGGGCAGGATGACTGAAGCCCACTTGAGTTGCAGCGCCAGTCGCACCCAGATGGCCACTCTTCTGGATGCTGCCGTGGGGTTCATTGAGGGAATGCGCGAGTACAAGCTGGAGCTGGAGAGGCAGCTGCGGGCCTCGTAATGGCGCGTCTGTTTCGAGCACATTACCTTGAATTCTCAAGGACCAAGTTCGGAACAGGCTTTAGTTGTGCAGCCATTCGCATGCACGTGGCCACTCCCCTGGATGCTTCAGTGGGGTTCATTGAGAGAATGCATTCGTCTTGGCTCTTCGCATACCTCCAATACCGGTACAGTCGCTGAGTTCATCTTGGCACATATTTCCAAGAACTACAGTTTATAATGCTCGCGCTGAGCCTCAGCCCATCACATCCCAAGCCTTGAGCTTCAAGGTTCTTAAAGCGAGGGTCCACAATTGTAGTGGAGGGGAAAGAAGTTTGGAACATGAATGCATGGGCATTTGCAACACCTGCTGTTGCGCAGTTAGAAATCCCAAGCAGCCTACCTGCTGACAGACAAATGTACAACCTTGGTTGAAGGTTCGAGATTCTACGCGCAAGCTGAATACTTGTGCACAAGCAGGGTTTGGCTTCACAAACAGGCAGCCATTCTGCTGGAAGATGTTATTGACTACATGCATAAGCTACTGGTAGAGGCTTCCATGTTTGTAGATAAGCTTCCTTATGTTTACGCATGTGTCATAATATTTGCAGTTTGCTTCCAGATTATATGACTGGATGGAATCACACGTTGCTGATGCTACATACATTGCATTTGGATTGGTCAAATGTTTTGTTCACCAACATTGTGTACCTTAAGCCCCCGGATATAAGCGGAGGCCTCAGATTGTTAAAACATATTTGCATGTTCCTAGTTCTGCTAGGCTACAGTGAGGTGCTCAGTATAGAGTACAACCCTAGTTAGGGTTTACTATGTGTATCTCACTCTTGCTAGTCATTCACCATTCCTGCACAGATTAACCTGACATGGTTTCAGAGTAGGAAACCTGTTAAGCTTTAAGGGCCGACCGATAGTTCCGCCCGTTCCTGCCCGAAGCGCCCTTGCGCTGAAGTGCCCTGCTCGCACAGTGTCGCGCTGCCCTGCTACCACGCACGCTGCCTGCCCTAGTGCGCTCCCCTGCTACTGCCCGCGCGTCGCGCCCTGCAGCCAGCACGTCGCGCCCTGCTGCAGCCTGCACGTTGCGCCCTGCTGCCCTGCCCAGCGAGTGCCCGCCCTGCCGCAGCCCGCGCCCAGCTGCCCTGCAGCCCGTGCATCGCGCTGCCCTGCCCTTAGGCCTGCGCGCCGCCCTGCCCTACAGCCCACGCACTGCGCTGCCCTACTCTTATGCCCGCGCGCTCTGCCCTGCAGCCCACGAGCCGCGATGCCCTGCCTTTAGGCCAGCGCGCCGCCCTGCCCTGCAGCCCGCGCACCCTACTGGCCTCCACAACCACAGTGACCACCGCCACTTCTACAGCTGCAGCTACAGCAGTTGCTACTCACGCCCTTGCGCCGCTGCTACTAACTGCGACTGCCTGTCATGGCCACTCTCACGGTCGTAGCAGCGTCTAGGGGTGGACAGCAGCAGCCACTGCCTCACCCGGACACTCTATCACCACAGCAGATTTGTGAGTGGGTTGTTTAGCGAGTCCGTGCTGGTGGTGGAGGTTTTGGTTTTACATATCCTGGACAGCAGCGGCAGCGGCGTCAGCAGGAGACCTTCTCCCCGCATCGGCTTCGTGACTGTGTTTCTTAGCGAGGCGTCCCTGGGTATAAAGAGGTTGCTGCTCTATGTGCTAGTGAGTCTGCTGCCGCTCCAGGTGCCAGTGAGTCTGTAGCAGCTCTAGGTGCAAGTGAGTCTGCTTCCACTCTAGGTGCTAGTGAGTCTGCTGCAGCGCTAGGTGCTAGTGCGTCTACCGCCACTGGTCGTGCCTTAGCTGAGGCCTTGCACACTTTCACACTTGACTCAGGAGCGTCACGTTGCTTCTTTCGTGATTGCACCACAGTTACACCGCTCGCAGCACCTGTCCCAGTCTCACTGGCTGACCCCACTTGGGGCCCAGTAGTAGCGCGAGCCTCCAGTGTCCTCCCGTGTCCGGCAATCCCCTCTTGCTCTTTTTCAGGCCTCCACCTCCCCTCGTTCTCGACGAACTTGGTGAGCAACGCATTCCTTCAGGATGTTTGGCTTAATACCTTTATCCTTAAAAAACAGCGTGTGGCGATATGTACGTGCTCCCGAACTGGACGTCACCTTGCTACATTCACTCGGCATCCTGGGTCCAGTCAGTACACCCTGACCACTGCGTCTGCACAAGTGGTTGCATCACATCAGGTGGCTGCGTCGAGTCAGGTGTCTACGTCTGGTCAGGTTGCACCGTCTTGCTCGTATCAGGTACTTTCCCACCAGACTCTCCTCTGGCACCACCGACTCGGTCACCCCTCTCTGCCGCGTCTGCGTAGCATGCACTCCCGTCTCCTTGTCTCTGGCCTTCCCAGGTCTCTGCCCCCCCTCCCACGCTCGCCTGCCCCGCCGTGCCTTCCCTGCGTTGAGGGGCGGCAGCGCGCCGCTCCTCACTCCTCCGAGTTTCCTCCGACCACTACTCCTCTGCAGACTCTCCACATGGACAAGTGGGGCCCAGCCTGTGTCAGTGGGACGAACCAGGAGCGCTACTTCCTGCTGGTCGTTGACGACTATTCGCGCTACACCACATTCTTCCCCTTGTGCCAGCAAGGCGGACGTCACTGGTGTTTTGATCCCCTTGATCCGAGCTGATCGTCTCTTGCTGCGCGAGTGGTTTCGGCGGGACCTTCAAGTCCTGCGTCTGCATTCTGACAGGGGTGGTGAGTTCTCTTTTGGCCTCCTTGCAGAGTTTTGTCGAGACGAGGGCATCTGCCAGACGTTCACGCTTCCGCCCTCTCCACAGCAAAATGGGATTGCAGAGCACCGCATTGGCTTGGTGATGGAGGTTGCTCGCACCTCCATCATCCATGCAGCTGCTCCCCATTTTCTGTGGCCGTTTGCGATCTGATACGCCACGCACCAGCTCAACCTCTGGCCTCGTGTCTCTTTGCTAGAGACCTCGCCCACACTCCGTTGGACGGGAGAGGTTGGTGATGCGTCGGCGTTTTGGGTCTGGGACACGCTCTCCTTTGTTTGCGATACCACCGCGAGCAAATTCTCTCCTCGCACTCTCCGTTGCACCTTCCTTGGCTTCCCCACCGACGCCCCGCCGTGGCAGTTTTATTACCCTCTCTCGCGTCGCGTGTTCTCTTCCCAGGACGTCACCTTTGACGAGTCAGTCTGTTTCTACAGGCTCCACTCGCACGCGTCCCACCCGGTCCCCCTGGCGCCTCTCTTCCTGGTACCAGTTCCCCCCCCGGTAGACCCCCTCCCTGGAGGTGCTTGTACTAGAGGTACTGAATCTGCCGGAGCTGGTGGTGCTGCTGGTGCTGGAGGTGCTGCTGGAGGTGCTGGGGGTACTGGAGCTGCTGGCACTGGAGGTGTTGGTACTACTGGTGCTGGAGCTGCTGGAGCTGCTGGTCCTGGTGGTGCTCGTACTAGAGTTGCTGGAGCTATCGGAGCCGGTGGTGCTGGTGGTGTTGGAGGTGCTACTGGAGGTGCTGGCACTGGTGCTACTAGTGCTGGAGGCGTTGGAGCTGGAGAAACTGGGGGTACTGGAGCTGCTGGCACTGGAGGTGTTGGTGCTCTTGGTGCTGGAGCTGCTGGTCCTGGAGGTGCTCATACTAGAGGTACTAGAGTTGTCGGGGCTGATGGTGCTGCTGGTGGTGGAGGTGCTTCCGGAGCTGCTGGCACTTGAGGTGTTGGTGCTGTTGATGCTGGAGGTGCTGCTGGTACTGGAGGCGCTGGAGCTGGAGGTACTGGAGGTACCGGAGCTGCTGATGGTACGGGTACTGTGCCACGCCGACCGTTTTTCTAACTGCAGCCGCAGTCATCCCTTCCACTGCCTGACTCAGCCCTTCGCGAGGTTCTTAGTCTCCCGTCTTCCATTGGCCTCACTCCACCTCTCCTGCGTCCACCGACACACCAGTCTCAGCCACAGCTACTGCCTGGCTCTCCGCTGCCTGCTCCTATTCCTCACACTGAGGTGACTGAGTCCCTGACTGAGCGTCGTGAGCCTGAGACTCGTGCTTCCATACCTGTTCGTGCTCATCGTGTCGCCTGTCCTCGTCCTCATGCTATCCCAAGCACACACAATATGGCACTTCATCCTTCCTCTGTTCCACAGTGTGTTGTCCTGCCTGAGCCTCCAGCGTCCTGTCTTTCGCACGTTCCTCAACCTGAGTCTAACCTTGCTCGTGCTGCCAGTCCTACTGTCAATCGTCTCCTCGCTACTGTAGTCAATGACCCTGACTTTGAGTCTACTGCTGCGTTTTCCCTAGTCACTGCGCTAGTCAAATTTGCATCTAGGAGTCGTCTGGAATAGGTCGCGAGTCT